CCCCAAAACCCCAAAACCCCAAAACCCCATAATACTCAAGATCTATTGAGTAAGATTTTCTAATATGGAATCTATGAACTTTGTACATCTACAGAGCTGAAACCTTCTTGTTCAAGTATTCCCTTAATTTTTATTTCATCAAGTCCGCACTTGCTAACCCTGATCTTCTTCAGAACGGTCTTGAAAGCTTCATTTTTAGCGAGCCCCTTAATCAAGTTTGTAAATGCTTCTGAATTGGCCCAGTCTCCATATTTAGCCTCTTCCATGTTGCTGAACTGGAGTTCTTCGATGGTACACCCATCAAGTTCAGAGCCAAAGTCAGGAGTCGATGATAAGTTAATGTTGCAGGAGCTCAATGAGACACATGTCTTAGCTTTGAACACAGAGAACAACTTCCTAAGCATTTCTTGGTTAATGCTAAAATTACCGACTGTGATCTGCTTCTCAGCCTTGCTACTAAGTGAGACAACTTCATCAATTGCTCAATCAATATCCTGAAGTTCAGGGTCAGAATTAAAGATAAAGGCTCTGTCTTTATTCAGGGAGCAGCTGATGAGGCACTGAGCGCTTTCCTTGGCTTTTTCATCATTGTTTTTATCTTCTATATCAATGTCATGTCAAGAATTCATGAAATGCCAAAGCTAAAATCTTTGAGAGTTTTTATTTAAAACAAGATTATTATATTTCAGAGGAAGCCTAAAAATTGATATAAAATTAGCACAAATATCTAATGAGAAGCTTCAAACTTTAACTGAAGCTTGAGGAGATTTGCCTGAAAGCTGATTCTATAATTGGAAGAGGATTCTGAAGACAGAAAAATACATCGGTCAGGAAAATCAGTAATTAAATAAAATCCATTATTTAGGTTTTTTATCATTAATCAACCATTCAGTTTTATAGGAATAGAAGAAAATTCTGGTAAGTTATCAGACTATTGTTCTACAAAGAAGGAACTGAAAGGATTAAATATTTGCCATCCTAATTTACAATTGTGTTAACCCAGTCCCTGGCTAAAGGTATCCCTATAGTAACTTTACTAAGACCACAATAAAGGCTTTAAACCTCGCCTACCTTCTTCTGAGGCACCCAATTTCCCCAAAGGATCAGTCTTAAGACAAAGCGACTGGAGTCCTTTAACTTCTTCCTCAAGTTTCTTATTCTGACTCTCGCTCTTCTGTGCTTCTTCATTTTTACTCCTCACCTGAGCTACAACTTTCTGTGTAGCTTCTTCAATAGTTTTATGACTCTTTTCTTCTTCATTCTTCATCTTCTCAGCTTCACTCTTAAAGGACTCTTGAAGTCTGGCGACTTCTTCATATCTGGCTCTTCCTGCCTCCTGTTTTTTTGCCTTCTGTGCCATCTCTAATTGGGCATTCTCTTCTGCTAATGTCTGTTTGGTGTCATCAGCTGTGCTATGGCTCCTTGGAGTACTTTCTGTTGGTCAGTGGCTTGTGCCTGGGCCTGTGTAGTTCTGATAAAGGATTCTTGGTGTACCTCAGAACATGTTCTGTGCAGCCAAGAAGTGTATTGCTGGTAGAGGGCTTGCCAGGTCTTGAGGGATATCTGGGGGTTATCGTAGCTGCGGCTGTTTATTACGGTTTCAGTGTATTTTCTAGATGTGAAATCTGTGAAGAGGGGGTCTTCTTGGAGTTGGTCCAAGGTCTTCTTGATTTCAGTGTTGATTTCGACGAAGTGGTAGTATTCTTTATTGTAGATGATTTCATTAAGCCATCTCTCGATCTTCCTGACTTCTTTATTGTATTTCTTGGCTAGCTGTGTCACCTCTGTTAGATTTCTGGAGTTATTATGTACTCTAAAGTACTCGCTCACGCCCACAATCGCAGTCTTCAACGTAATCAACCCCAGTTCCACTTGACTATAAGGCACCAGCACAATCCTGGCATCCTCTGAATAAGCAGCTTCATGTAATTGACAAATGTACAGTCCAAATTCGGGCAAGTACAACGCAGCTAGTGCATTACAGGACTCGTATTCACACTTGAGATTATCCATTTCTTTAGTAATTATAGTCTCAAATTAGGTGAGGCCTTATGGGGTTTTGGGGTTTTGGGGTTTTGGGGTTTTGGGG